TTCCAAGGAGAGCATGCAGGGCAGAAGGGATGTCCTCTCGAGTTGAAACCTTCAGCCCAACCCCAAATGTCATGTCTGCTTGCTTGCTTTGGTTAGAAGGGTGGTTTTGGCATCTCCCTTGTCCCTGCTCTAGTCAAAATGTCTGCTCTCCTCATCTCCCATTTTTTGCAGCTGCCCTTTTGCCTCTCCCAGCTATAGTCGCTTCAACTATGGTCCTTTGGCCTTCAGCAGAGAGTGATTTGTACCATGTAAGACGAATATTGATTTTTATATCACATGGCCCATGAGGCTTTGGAAACCACATTTTTTTTTCCCGTTAGTGTGGTTTATCTCTAGCTTTTAGGAAAAAATGAGCTTTGGGTCCCGTGAGATTTCCTGTTTGGGGTGAATGGGCTCTGCATTTAGATCTTTTCGCTGGAAAGCCACGTGCTGCAGCTGGACTTCTAAATTAAAGGGGGAAGGGAATTAACCTGGCTTAACCTAAGTTTAGATAATTCTGTTGAGAGGCCAGTGACTCATTTAGAGAATTCAGCAAGTCCACAAGGGCTAGAATGATACTTCTGAAAGCTTATAGAATGTCATTGCTTTGTGTTTTAACAATTGGGTCCTGCAGTGAATTCTTGTGGGTTGTTGTGGAAAAGAGATTTATTGATGACTTGTGATGCCAGAACGTTTGCTCTGTGAATGTTTGTTTTTGTCTTAAAATATGAATACGTCATGAACCACAAGGGGAAAAAAAAGAAAAAAAAAAAAGATGCATTGCAGGCTACAAATGAAATACGATTTAATCCTGCCATAAATTCATACCCAGACCTGAATTCTCCCCACTCCCCTCAAGTTCAGGTCTGAAACTTAATTTGACCTGTGACAAACAAGAATGAAAGCCACGACACTCTGTTTTGGATCCAAAATTCCTTGCAGTTTTTTGGGCGTCCACTGCTGAGTTTTGGAGAGCGCTGAGCTCTTGTTAGAATGTTGTTGAATCCAAGCTGCTCAGAAGGACTAAATTAATACTCCCTAGTCCAAGGGTTTTTAGCATTTAGCACTCCTGCCCCAGGGTTAGAAAGTCACTGTTTCAAATTCTGAAGTTAAAAATGTCAAAATCAGTTAGGCTATAAATCCCAGTAGCCATCAGTATGCATTTATACATCCACCACAAGGAAGGAAGTGAAGAGAGAGGGAGGATACCTCTGTTTGTTTTCAATTAGCATGCTTGTTTTTAATTCCTAATGCAAAAGTGTTTGTGGACGGGTGCACAGGTCAAGATGCATGGCTGGCTTAAGAGCTGGGCTGGTCGATGCTGTTGCTGTTATGTGCCGAGCTGAGTGCCTCGAGGCGCTAAGGTTTAGTCCAATGCAAGTTATATTAAGCCTCGATTATAAATTTCATTTGCTTTTGTTCAGGTTGCAGCAGTATGAATTGCCAAGATCTTAGATGTTGAGTTTTTTGCAAAGCAAATGATTATTGCCTGGAGCAGGTTAGATCTGCAGGATTTGTTACAGTTTGCATAGAAACCCTCTGCTGTATTCCCAGTGGGGAGAAAACCCCTCCAAATTCAGAGACAGTTGTAGGCCAAATCCTGATCTGCAATAGCTAGAGTGTTTGGAGTAAATCTGCTGGAGTTAACAGATGTGCTGAAGCTGGCACCAGTATCACTGAGATCAGAATCTGGCTTGATATAAGGCACTTTTTAAAAAATGTAATTCAGGCAGCAAGAAGTATTAAAGCATATTCTGTGACTGTGATAACCTCAACCTAATCAGGTAAATGTTTGGTCTAAGAACAGCGTAAATGAGGAAAATTATAAATCATAAGGTAATCAGACTCATTAGGTAGTACTTGATGACCTATTCAGCAGTATCAGTCATTAAAAACACAGTCTTGTGTTCTGGTTAAGAATGAAGAGAAGATATTTTTGTTCTTTGGTGTTTGTTTTTTTTTTGTGGTTTTTATATTTAAACTTAAAATGGCTATTTGTGGGTTTGTTTCCTCAAGGCATATTTATGAAAACTGGATTAATTTATGATGCCATTTGCAACAGAACAAGCCTGGGGAGGCCATACATTTGGCATTGCTTTACACAGTCTTTTTAGGGCAATACTGTTAATGATTATAAATTTTTATCAGTGTGTCTTTTGAGTAAATACTTTATTAACCATACATTTAATATAATGATATGTTCTCTATGAAGAGAGGAAAATAGTGATGAAACTGATTATTCTGAATTAATACTTTAATTTAAAAATACTCTTTCTGTATTGTTTTATACTTGAGTATTTCTGTGGTACAGATGGCATTTTTTCTTGTGCTATAAATTAATGTGCATTCTTTCCCTTTCATGACTTGTTACAGTACTGCCTTGGTGTTTTGACAAGACATGTTGCAGTGGGTATGTTCTGTGTATCTTTATGTATGTGTTTATATACCTATATAATAATATTTAAAAGCCACAGCAGGTGAAAGAAAACTTTTCCAATCAGGTTTCTCAACATCATACTTGGAGTCTGCAATATTGTGGAAAGACTAAGGTATTTCAGTCAGCAGTGATAACCCAGGCAGACGGGTAAATGAGGGAATGTTCCACTCCATTTCCCAGAAGGAGTCGTCTGGGAAAACAGTTAAATTTGACCTGTTGTTGGAGCTTGTCAGCCTTTTGGAAAGGTGTACATCGGACCTAATAGGAAAATAACCTCTCTGTCACATCTGCCTGTCTTTTGTGGGTTTTTTTGGTTGAGCTGTAATCTTTTTTGGTGAGGCTGTATAGTTTTTCTCTGCTGCTAACCACTCAAGTTACTAACTTGAATCATTTTGGAGCCCACTAAAAATATTGGCAGATGACGGTGGGTTCTGGACCTCAAGTGAACCGTAAGAAAGCAGATGTTGTATGAACACAGAATTGTTCGCTGATGCTTCTGCTCTTCTGTATGACTGTTTGCAGAAGCTTTAAAATGTGGGGAAAAAAAGAATAAAAACACATGGCTTTCACAGGAAATAGAGACAATACTAACATTTGAAAATGTTAATGCCCTCTGGAAGAAGAATTTTTTAAATTGGGTTTGATAGAGTTTTGGAATTTGGAAAGATAAATAGGTTATAAATGCAAGCAATGCAGCAAATAATTGTAATTGTAAACAAATTACAAGTAACAGAAACTAAACCAAGTCGTGTCTGAGTGCATATGTATTTCATATTATTTTATTTGTGCATATGCACACTTTTTATGTTCTCTAGAATTAATAAAGGAAGAAAGCTTGCATACTCTGTAAACACTCTAAAACTCCTTTGCAATTTAGTAGGAAATGAGAAGCTTTTATAGAGTTTTTGGACTGTTCTTTAAATCCGTTGTTCAGCACACAATAGAAAATGATAACTTTTCCTTGTAGGTAGCAAAAGACTTATCCAGAGGACTCCATGAATACATGTTCTTTGTCCTGTCACTCGCAGGTGCACATCCCTTCCCCTCACACGTCTTCCATTATACCTTTTAAATCCATTTTTTTATAATCATGATGTACATGCATGGATAGCGGCACAATCTACATAACCCTCTAACCTGCCCATATTTATTATGCATGTGAGCTTCTTTTTCATTACAAATAGCAATTTATAAAGGGAAGGAAAAAATGTTTTTAAGTCTGTGGACAGTGTAATTATGATACTTCAAGCTTCACTAGCTTAGTAATAGCAAAAGTCATAAAAATACTTGGCTTACCCAATGTTCTTATTTATAGGTGTAGTGGGGGCTTCCCCATTGTCAGACAGGGCAACATTTTGCCTAAATTAAGCAAGGAGACTTGTTCAGGCTGTTAGAAGGCCCAGTTTGCTGAATGGAAATGCTTTGGACATTCCTGTGAAGCTAAGCCTTAGAGAAGATGATCATTAAGGAGCTCAGTTTCCCTGCTCCATGCACATAGTGACTTGTCTTCACATGGTTCTGCTCTACCCTTTTTGTGGTCTTCTGTTCCAGGACCGTATTCAGTAGTTCTGCGTTTTGATGTAACCAAATGGCTGTGGCACACAGCTCCTCACGTAATTTATTGCTAGAGTTGATGTGCCACTGATTCAGCTAGTGCAAGGGGCTGCCATTGCATGTTCCTGAGGTCCAGACTGGTGCAAATTTGTTATTTTAGTGATGAGAGTGGGAAATTACAGAAATATCCCAAGATGAATTGGGTTTAAATGTCAGAAAACATTTAACTTCTCATGACTGGCATCTTCTGGAATTTTTGACAGCTATTTCTTGTGCTGATAGCCGATATTCTTGTAGATGAAGTTGCTATGGCATTTGAACTGGTCAAGTGGAATTGCTTAAATAGGAGAATTTTAATCATAGCTAGCCCTTTCAATGAACTAAGCTAAAATGGTGGCCTTTGACTGTCCAACAGAGCTTGAAGTATTCAGGTAAATTGTTTGCACGTCTTTTAAAACCGGTCTCTCACATAATCCTCCTCATAAATACGATGATCACTCAGCAGAAAGGGAAAAACGCATAAAAAAGTTCATAGCGGTCATCGTAGTGATAGTATTGGGGTAAACAAATAAAACATTAAATATAAAACTGGAAAGGAAAAGCAAAATTCTTCCCTGGCATAACACTGTTGTGTTTTGGAGACCAAACTTTTCAGATGTGTTCAGGCTCTTTGGAATTAATGGAGTGTTGGAAAGTGGAAACCCAGATTGCCTAAAACACTTGACACCCATACTGAATGCTGAACCAAGGTGTGTGTCTATAACTGCACACATCACTTCTAAAAGGAAAAGTTTTCCCGAAGAAAATATTAGAGGGCAAGTTTTTATCACCTTTTCTTTTGTGCACCACCTTCTCCCTTATGTTTCAAGCTGGGCCATCACAAGGAGTACAGAAGAGGTTGTGAACAGAAATGTTAACAACTCTGTTGACTCCTTTTCCACCTGCGGTAGCAGCTGAAAAACAGATCAAAGCTCAGAAGCAGTTGTGTTCTTGTAATGCTTTATGGCATCTGTAAGGTATTCTCTTCATCTGAGAGCCAGAGATGAACACTTTATTAGATTTCTTCTCTTCTTTTGGTATAATGCTTAGGAGCAATCCATTTGAATACCTTGATAGCTTCTGGTGATCAAGCCAGCAAGCTGAATGCCATATAAACACGTCTGGGAAGTATGAGTATGACTGCTGATCCATGCGTAGCCCATGCCTCTGTGACGTACATTTGTCAGCTGTAAGCTAGAAAAGAGAAAATTATGAAACTATAAAGAAAAGCTTCACCTGATTATAAGCATGTTTTAACTGAGGGTTGTAAGGCTTTGGAGCTGACTTCAAGATTTTGGACCAGCTTCTAAGGGCATTTTGACACCTAAAGAAATCTGTGTTTGTAACTGAGCTGTGTGCCCTGCTTCGCAGCAAGTGCAAAGTGGACTGACGTGTCCTCAGTGTGTTTTGCCTACTATCTGGACATTATAATAAAGGCCAGAAAATCCTGAATATTGAAAATGCATCAGGTATGCTGAACAGGAGAAGTGCATCTGTCCAGAATCTCTGGACATTCAGCAACCCAGCTGGAGCTCTGCAAGGACTCCAGACGTCTGCAAGTCCCAAATGAAAAGCCAGATTTCTCTTTTTCACCTAGATATTAATTCAGACTGAAAAAGAGGATATGTTCAGGGGAACCTGGCCATACATTATCACTAGCAAGGCAGCTTGTTCAAATACAGAATTTGAAGTCAGCAGGAGTTAGATGTGTCTGCGCATCAAGAAACTCCATAAAATGCCTGTTTACATTTGCAGGTACCTAAAGGCCCAAGTTTCAAAGCACAGTATTTGATTCTTCTCTGAGGTTATCCTTCCCAAATTGAGGGGGAGCTGGGATCTCAGGCAGGAAGGAGGATCAGCCCAGCTGCTACTCCTGGCAAGGCAGCAGCTTCAGTTCCAGCAGGAGTCACTGTTCAGCACAGAGGCGGAAAAGGAGGTGTGGAAGGGCAGCCCACCCATGTCACCCCCCCTTCATACGTGAGAAGTGCATTTGCAGCCTAGCTTCTGGGTCGTGCATCGGCTGCATGGTGTGGCAGGGTCCTGACTGATCATCTGAGCTACTGGCACTCAGGAGTCTCCTTGGTGCATATCACTAGCTGAGCTTGAGTGGCAGTGCACTTAATGCACGGAAAAGATATCTGTGCTTCTTACAGTCACATCAAAATTACCTGCTTATTGTGGAATTTGTCTCCACTAACTTGTGCTGTCTAAATATTCAATGACTTCTCTTGGCTGTTTTTATGCTTCTTTTACAGTCAGTGGAGTGAAGTAGATTCCTCCAGTGGATGATTCATCTTCCCTATTTTAGGTTTCAATATTAGAATGGGATAAATGACCCTGTAGAGAAATATTTCACAGAGAGAGCTTTAAGCACCTCCAGCTAGTCAAGGTGAGTGCCAATCCGCTGTGTTAGGAGAAGCCAAGTTAATTTTCCACCTTTCAAAGCCACCCAGGCTTCCAACCACCACCAGCACTGATACTTAAAAGTTTTCAGCTGGCACACGCCTGAGCTCCCCTGTGTTTTAGTCAGGCTTGTGTCTGTGGACCATGAAGAAGAGTGGCCAAGTTGTGAAGAGAGGTGCTGCACTGGCACTGTGAAGTGGCAGCCCCCTGAGAATGCTGCACCCTGCGTTCCATCTGCCAGTAGTTGCTAGCTTTCTGCCTTTCGAGGAAGAAGGGTTGTTTCACTCCTATCCTGAGGTAAATAGTGACTGAAATGCTTGAAAAAGGCAGCTGTAGATAGAGCCATGGTTCTAAACCTCTGCTCTGCAAACCCTGACAGTCCATGATCACTCCTAAGGTAACAAAGAAGAATTCTGTGAAAGGTAACTTAAAAACCCGTGTTTATTGTCAGTAGATTAACACTCTCTGTAAAGGAGTTTGTCTCTCCTGAAAAACAGTTGGGGGCTGCCGAGCATAAAGGTTGAAAACCACTGAGTTGGAGTAATGTGTCTTTATATGTGGTAATTTGACAGCTAAAGGGCTAAAGCTATTCAGCTGTACCTTTATGAAAAATGCCTGGAGAATTGAATAGAATGTGATAAACTTCATGTTGGCATTTTTGATCCAGTCTGTGAAACTGAGTAACTGAAGGGATTCTATAGAAAATACTCTACAAATGCACAAAATAAAAGGAGAATGAAGTAATTTTCATAAGAGTTCCAGCTGATCTTATAGAATCATGCTTATGCTGTAGATTATAGTTATTGTGTGCTTTTTTTTCCTTAAGATTTAACTCTGACAAAAGGTAGAATCATAGAACAGTTAGGTTTGGAAAGGACCTTAAGATCATCTAGTTCCAACCCCCCTGCCATGGGCAGTGACACCTCACACTAAACCGTGTCACCCAAGGCTTTGTCCAACCTGGCCTTGAACACCGCCAGGGATGGAGCATTCACAGCTTCCCTGGGCAACCCATTCCAGTGCCTCACCATCCTCACAGGAAAGAATTTCTTCCTTATACCCAGTCTAAACATCCCCTGTTCAAGTTTTAACCCGTTACCCCTTGTCCTGTCACTGCAGTCCCTAATGAAGAGTCCCTCCCCAGCATCCTTATAGGCCCCTCTTCAGATACTGGAAGGCTGCTATGAGGTCTCCACGCAGCCTTCTCTTCTCCAGGCTGAACAGCCCCAACTTTCTCAGTGTGTCTTCATACCGGAGGTGCTCCAGTCCCCTGATCATCCTCGTGGCCCTCCTCTGGACTTGTTCCAACAGTTCCACGTCCTTTTTATGTTCAGGATGCCAGAACTGCACACAATACTCCAGGTGAGGTCTCACAAGAGCAGAGTAAAGGGGCAGGATCACCTCCTTCGACCTGCTGGTCACACTCCTTTTGATGCAGCCCAGGATACTGCTGGCTTTCTGGGCTGCAAGCGCACACTGCCTGCTTGTGTTCATTTTCTCATCAACCAACATCCCCAAGTCCTTCTCCACAGGGCTGCTCTGAATCTCTTCTCTGCCCAACCTGTAGCTGTGCCTGGGATTGCTCCGACCCAGGTGCAGGACCTTGCACTTGTCATGGTTAAACTTCATGAGGTAGGCATCAGCCCACCTCACAAGCGTGTCAAGGTCCCTCTGGATGGCATTTCTTCCCTCCAGTGTATCAGCTGAGCCACACAGCTTGGTGTCATTGGCAAACTTGCTGAGGGCGCGCTCAATCCCACTGTCCATGTCAGCGACAAAGATGTTGAACAAGACCGGTCCCAACACCGATCCCTGAGGGACACCACTCGTTACTGGTCTCCAGCCGGACATTGAGCCACTGACCACAACTCTGTGTGCGGCCATCCAGCCAGTTCTTTATCCACCGAGTGGTCCATCCATCAAATTGATGTCTCTCCAATTTAGAGACAAGGATGTTGTGTGGGACAGTGTCGAGCTCTTTGCACAAGTCCAGGTAGATGACATCAACTGCTCTACCCCTGTCCATCAGTTCCGTAGCCCCATCATAGAAGGCCACCAAATTGGTCAGGCAGGATTTCCCCTTAGTGAAGCCATGCTGGCTGTCACCAAGCACCTTGTTGTTTTTCATGTGCCTTAGCATGCCTTCCAAGAGAATCTGCTCCAAGATTTTGCCAGGCACAGAGGTGAGACTGACTGGTGTGCAATTCCCTGGGTCATCCATTTTCCCCTTCTTGAAAATGGGGGTTATATTTCCCTTCTTCCAGTCGTTGGGAACTTCACCTCAGTGCCATGACTTTTCAAATATGATGGACAGTGGCTTAGCAATTTCATTCACCAGCTCCTTCATGCCATGAGGATGGATTTCATCAGGTCCCATGGACTTGTGTGCTTTCAGGTTCTTAAGATGGTCTCGAACCATATCCTCTCCTACAGTGGGCCTAGGATCACCATTCTCACCGTCCCTAGTTTTTTTATTCACTACATACCTATAGAATCCCTTCCTGTTATTTTTCACATCCCTAGCCAAGTTTAATTCTAACTGGGCCTTAGCTTTCCTAACCTGGTCCCTAGCTTCCTGGACAACATCCCTGTATTCTTCCCAGGCCGCCTGTCCTTGCTTCCACCTTTTATAAGCCTCTTTTTTCCTTTGAATTTTCCTCAGCGGCTCCTTATCCATCCAAGGAGGTCTCCTAGCCCTCCTGCTGCACTTCCTTCTAGTTGGGACACAATGCTCCTGAGCTTGCAGTAGGTGATCCTTGAATATTAACCAACAACTAAAATTACAGGTGAATTTCTGTAGAAGAACAGCTTTAATCCATAGTATGTATGTGATGACTTTTTAGTCGTATACACTGCATTTAATTTAAGATCTTATAAATAATTTCTACAGAGTGCAGAATCACACAGTCAGGATTTTGGGTTTTCCCACCCAGGGTAACTCTGAATCCAGACACTCAGCTTTGACAGTCAGATCCCTAGGATAGCACAGGTTTATCACAAAACCCTGGATTTCTCATACAAGAAACTCATGCAAATGTTTATAATCTTCCAGTGCAAGTAAGAAGGCAGGGCAGGAGTTACCAAGCAAAATGATTCCCCTGATGGTTACACATGGTAACTTTTTTAAGGAGAATTCTTTTGGTTTTTTTTAACTCCCACATTGATTGAGTTTTACTTGATTTTGTCAGTATTAGTTCACCTTTATTTGAACTGCTGGGTAATTCATTTGTAGAAGAGGCAGTACGTTTAGGTACTTCCATCGGTGTTTAAACAAGGCTCTTGTGCTTTCCCCATTTAAAAAAAAAAATAAAAATAAATTTGTATTACAATGCTTGTGGTAGATCAGGTTCTGAATTTAACTCCTTCCTACTCTAGTTTCTCTTAACAACTCTGCATTATCAGCACCTGGGGTTTCTAGTTTACTCTCTTTGCAAATATTAATTTGCAAGAAGGGGTTGATGGTAAGTAGCGTGGTTCTAATTTACACTTGTGAAGTGTGTCAGACAGTTTCCTGTAGTGCATGGTGAGCAGAGGAAAGCCAGTCTTCCTCTGAAAACAGCCCTTAGAGTGTGTCAGAGAGTGTGTTTGGCTGCAATAGTCACTTGCAAATGCAATAGTTTTGAAATGAGCTGTCCAGGAGCTGCTGGAGTAATGGTTGCCTGTACTCCTATGAATCCACTCCTCTTCTTTCTTTCGCCTATTTCTACTTGTTTTCATACTTCTGGGCTATCACTTTGAAGTGCTTTTGGATGCGTCTACTTCACTACGCTAGTACAAGTTCTGTGGACTCATTCGGATGAAACATCTGTGACAGTCATCTATTTTGCTAGGACTGCACACAGTGATACAGGTAGCCCTTCCCAGCTTTATCTTCATTACTCCCTCTCTATCTACCAGGCATCTTTATAGCCTCAACTGTCCCTCCTATCCTCCTAGTGCCTTCCAGACATCTGTTGAAATCACTCTTCCCTGTGGTATCTAAGTACCCTTTTCTCAACCTTCCACACATGCTTGTCCTCAGAGGAGGAATCTTGTCCATAGTTCATGTGCGTTTATAAAGTCTTTCCTTAATCCATTAATAATCTAGAGGTTTAAGCCTGGGGTGATACTTGAGTGCATGGCTGGACCTACAGAAGGCTGGACTGTGGCCATCCTTCTCTCTTGCAGGCAATAGGGCAGCGGATTTATGGTGATACTTCACCTGTGCCCTTGGTCAGGAGCTGCAGCCAGGTTGTGTCCCCATAAATCATAAGTGCTCCAGTAGTGTCAAATTCCCTCTGACCTGTCCCATTTCTCTGCTACACCACGTTAACTAGCCTTGCATGGTCTTCCTCCCCCTGAAGCCCAGATTTCATCACACTCTTGCCCAGCACCCTCAGAGGAATTGAGAATGAGTCACAAAGGGTGCCTCTGGGGACTCCTACCGATGCAAACTTCCTCCTCCTCAAGGCAGCCTGTGGTTTGAATGCCACAATGCAGCCGGTACTTGTTAGCTTGAGCCTTTTCTGTAAAGTTGATGGCAAAGCTTGGTCTCTGGCCCAGGCACCTGCAGCTTGTTCTTCCTTCACTGGTGCAGGAGAGGAGACTCTCAGCTCATTCTCTTTGTAGCGTCAAACATAGGAGCTGCTCAGAGCCTTTCAGAGTGCCAGTCAATAGGCAGGCAGGTTTTTGAGAAAGCAGTTATCATTCATTCTTAAGGTGTGTTCCAGTCCAGGCAGGAGACTGGCATCAACACATTAGGTGAAGTGACTTCCATTACAAGAGCTTTACTAGTGGTCTGTCACCTGCTTCCACGGTCTGTGTTCAGAAACATAATATGTGATAAATAGGGCTCATTTATGTTGTTTTGGTTTGGATTTTCCTCCCTCATCCCTGATAGCCCATTGTCTTTAAAACATTATCTACCTTCTCCCTCTTCACATGGAAAAGAAAAATGCTTTTCTGGTGGTAATTACACAGTGCCGCATTGTGGACCTTTCATCCCATTACAATAAGTGGACAAACTACTCTCATTTACAGGAATGAAATAGGTGAGGAAATGGGAAAGTTTCTCGCACTCCCAGGCATAAATGCTAAACTGATACGTGAGAATAATTCTGACAGAAAGCAAATTCTCTTGCTAGCAATGAGTGCTGCTGCAGTTGTGCACGGACAGAGGAATAGACAATTTCTTGTTCCTTACCAGGTGTTTCAGAAATAGAAGAATCAGACAGTATTAATGGAGGGCTACAGACCTTTAACTTGTCTCTGTCTGTGCAGTTCAACTGAGACACGCTTCAGCTCTTCCTTGTTCTCAGTTTCAAAATCTCTTCAGTCTGTCCATGTACTGTTCTGTACTACTGGATCTGTTGGCAAGGTCAGGATTTTAACACATTGAGATGTTTTATTCTCCAGCAAAAGTTTGCTGCCTTATTGTTCCCCACCTCTGTGTACACACCTTGTTCATCTCTCAAAACAGACTGATGCTCTTACTTGCCTAGGGTTCGGTTTGTTTTGGTTTTTTTTTTCTCATTTATAGTGACTCTTTGTGGAAGGTTTACTCTCACGGAAGGTTTGCCCTGAAGGTGTAATTGCAGGGGTAAGGTCTCTAACAATGCATCAGCTAAAATGTATTTGGACATTAGTGGGAAGAGCTACCAAATGGGTAACAGAGCTTTGCTATTCCTTTGCTAGACTTGCTTGTGGGCTGTGGATTAGAAGTTGAGTGACTTGCACTTACCTCCCTTTTCTTCATATGTGGTGATTGCCAAATGGGTGGGGGCGTCTGCCTTTATCCCACCTTCGGTGGAAGGTGAATTTGGTACCCTTGGAGGCCCAGAGAAATGGGTGGTTGAAGTCCCTTTCCAGCCACTGGCACGGGTTGGTTTGGCAGCAATTTATTGCCGCCACCTGCTGACCAGGCAAAGGATTTCTCTGGTGCTGGTAGAGCTTGTGCTTGAGGGTGTCCCAATGAGCCTCTATCTCTCCCCTGTCCAGCGATCCCAGCAAGAGGGTGATGGGGATGTAGGGAGAGGTCAGGGTACTTGCGTAAAGCAGGAACGCTTGGGAGCAAATGCAAGATCAGTCATCTAGGTAAATGTGACAACCACTGGTGGGGGCTGAGCTGGTCTGACTTTGGGCTGCTTATAGATTATCAAACTTTGGGTGCTATGGATTATCATGGGTGAGATCAAGCCCAGGAATTTTCAATGATAGATAACCTCGTATAACTATGTCACTAAGTAAAACAGCAAAGAAATACTGTCAAACTGTCTTCACTTTAATGGATCTCTGGATAGGAAGGCAGGAAATTCAGGTACTCTTTCAGAATAAAGGAAAGTAGAGAAGCAATAAATTTTATCTAATCCTGAACTTCAAAAATTTGAATTTGCTCTTCTTTGATTTACTGAATAGACTTAAATGTCATCTTCAGTGTTCTTCAGGAACTATTTCACATTGTTAGCTCTTTAACAAAGGTGTCCTTTCATGCTGGTGTTTTTGGAGGTGGATTTTAGGTAAGGGGCAAGACAGACAAACAAGTACATTACACAGAAGTATGTACAATACCTATTAGGACAGTGTCACTGCGCTAAATCTTTATTTGGTGGCCAAATCACAGGAAGTGGTGGCACTTGTTGTTAGCCTCTTCTCTGGCTGATGTGCCTGGTGTGCTGGTACAGGGTTGTGTAGCTGCTGTGGTGGGAGCTGACTTCTGAAGCTCTCAGGAATCCTTACCCACTTTTTTCCCTTTAAGGAGCTGTGTGAAACATTTGCCTTCTCTGGGGTCACTCCAGGCTTTCAACCAGCAGTGCTTAGAGCAGGGACAGGGACATCTCCATATTTTGCTTTGATCTGTGTTAATTCTTAAGTTTTGGAATCTGGTTTTAGGCCATCCCAGTCTGCTGCCTCCTGCATTGTTAAAGAAGCTCTGGTATTGAGGGCCATACCCTACAAGTGCTCTAGAGAGGCAGTGATTTTCATGTCCCTGTAGAGACCGTAATCTCATTTTCTGTCTTGTTCAAAATACTCTCATTTTCGCAGGAATGGATGGGTTTTCCCCTAGTTGTTCTCCAGTGAGTCTCCCTTTTTCTTGCATGTGTTGGGATTTAGTTTGCTTGTTTGGAGGCAGAGGAGAAAACTCCAAGGAGAAACGAAACGCTGTGCACGGCAGTTCTGCTGGGCTGCCATGGCGCCGTCCCTGTTTTATCAGAGAAGGAAAAGGTTCCTATTACCATTTTATAATGTGTGGTCGCAGGTGCATTCCTGCTTTCCTAAGCAGTTTGAGTCACTGCACAGATGTTACTGTAAAACCCCATTTCCACTTAACTCCTCACTGCTTGACCTGACGCCCCTCCTGCTGACGCTGTGGCTCTCTTTTCTTGCTCCCTAGGGCTCTGGCACCTCGAGCAGCTCCGCTGCCACCCCTCCATCTGTGTCCACCCCTGTCACTGGCCACAAGCGGATGATCATCCCCAACCAGCCTCCCCTCACGGCCACCAAGAAATCCACCGCCAAGGGCCCGGGGCAGCCAGCACCCATCCCGGTCACTCCTGTTGGCACCCTGAAACCACAACCAGTGCCGGCCCCCTATGCCACAGCCTCTACCCCCAGCCGCCCGGCCTTCAATGTCCAGGTGAGGACAGCGCAGCCCAGCCCGCACTACCAACCACCTGCCCCGCAGCCTGTGCACTATGGCAGCCTGGGGCCCAGCCAGTCCTACACTCCCCCGCCGGCCCGCCTGCCCAGCACCCCGCAGTATGGCGCTCCACAGCCCCACGGGCCTGACTATGGCTATGCCCCACCGCCTGCCCGGCCCTCGGAGCCTCCCTATGGCTATGCACCTCCACAGGGCCGCTACCAAGACCCCTACTATGGGGGGTATGGGGGGAGGAACGGCTCCGAAGCACCCTACATGCCACAGAGCTCCTGGAAGGCTGAGCCAGCGTATCCTGCTAGTAACACCGTGGGTCAGGGTCCTCCTGGGCTCTACCAGCCAACCGGCACGAAGAAGACCTACATCACCGACCCTGTGCTGGCCCCACAGCCACCTGCGCTGCAGCAAAAGGTAGGAGATGTGAGTGTTCACCAGACTTCCTGGAGGAGTGGAGAGCCACAGGGCTGAACATGCCCTGGGACCCTCCCTGAAAGGCAGCCTGGCGGGGTTCAGGGGCCCCTGCAAAGGCTTGGGTAGGTCTCCCTCTGCATGGCTTCTTAAAAGCTGGAAACAGGGAACTCTTGTCTGCTTTGAAATGAGGCTTTTGTGGGGACATGGAAACACTGCCAGCCTTGTGCAGGGCATCACGTGCGGGGGTGTGGCATCACCTGGCGGGCAGAAGCGAGGTTTCATCCCTCTGACATGCTGTTACCATCAGAGTTCACTGGCCATACCTCCGTATGGCATTGTTACACTTGGGTCCTTCCTTCCAGTCATACCCAAGATCAGATGAGAGACTGGGAACTCCATGTGCTTGTGGACAGCTCTGTTCACCAGACAAATCCTTCCTTTTCTTAGGCAGATAGGAGGTATGCAGAGGCTGGTTTTGATTGTGGTTCAGAGCGATTGCAGAGGTTGACCTCTAGTGTGTTGCTGTTCAAAAATCACTTATCGCTGAAACCACATGGAAATAAGTTCCCACAGAGCTCAGCTCTGATTTTCCTCTCAAGTGATGGTACGCTGAGGTGGCCTCTATCCACTTGAACCGGTACCTGATCCTTATAAAGAGAAGCCAACTGAAATAGAAAGCTAAACTGGTCAGCCTGGTTTCTCTGCCCAAACTGATGCTGGCTGGCTTTTGTCACTTTTGTTGGTGGCTGTCCCCGTCATGGCCCTGGGGACACACAGTGCTTTAGCTTTGTGGGAACCTCACAGTGTATGATGAGCTTGGGCTCCACCAAAGGGTGAGGACAGCCAAGCCCAGGCAGGAAGGCAGTGAACCCATCACTGCTCAGGCCCACCCTGGCTCATCTCAGCGGCTCATCAGATTGTGGGTGCTCACAGGGGAGGGCGGAAAAGCTTCTGACACATAGCAAAATGTGTGTCCTTTTGGCATTTTCTTCACTAGCAGCACACAGACTGTTTTCCCTAAATTTGAGATTTCCTGACAGTGGGAACTTTTGAAGGCAAAGACGTTTCTTCAAGCAGTTTAGAGAGGGCAGTACGTTACGGAAGTCTTTGAAATATTATCTACTAGCAGCTAAGAAACTGCTTTTTATCTTTTCTTCCCCTTCCTTACCAAGGAGCTAGGAGTGGGAAGAGAAGTAATAAACTCTCGGCTGTGCAGGTATTTGGTATAGATCTTAGATTGGGAAGTAGTGAAAGGTAAGAAATCTGCACATAGCCTTAACTGGTGTAATTGCTGTGGTTCCAGTGGAGTCACTCAGGAAATGCTGAGGTACAGCAGACCCATATTTAGGCTTTTATAGATACAAGTAGGCTTATATATAAAAAAAATTGAAAAACTTTAGTTCACTCAGCATCTCTATGGAAACACAAATCATCTCGAACCACAAACAGCGCAAGCCTGTTAGTCTCATTTGCATTACAAAGTTGGAAGGACAATTTAATTTAGCTCAAGTTTGGGGTTTCATGTGTGCATATATATATTTATATCTATATGTATATATAGATATATCTGTTTGTATGTGTGCACGTGGCATTTGGAAATACCATGCAGAAGTACTTCTTACGTATCTCTATAAAAATAATTTCATTTTTTCTGCAAACCAGACTCCCTTTCATTCCCTACCAGCTTGCTAAATATCTGCATTATTACCTATTTCGCTTTTGAACTTACAGCTCTTCTCTAACATACTGGTGGCAGACTCTGCTTAATCTCTGCTTTGTAACATATGTAGTGTAACTGGTGAAGAATTGAAGTTGATCTTAACAGGAGATGCTCGATAATAAAACACTGTATATTTTGCTAGTGAAGCAGTGTTGTCCATTTTTACCACATGCTCTTTTTTTTTGCAGAGTAACTCATTCATAAAATCAACTTTTTGGAAATACTTTATTTAAAGGAGAAAAAGAAGGAAGTTTATGTTAGAACAGATACCTGATAGGGAGAATTGTCAGTATAATTTGACTTGTTGGCTACAATGTGGACTTTAACGTGTTTCCTACATACTGGCTTCTGCATTTCATTGTGTTTTGCCTTTTCAAGGTTGGTTTGAGGCCTTTCAGTTAAGGAAATTGACTTGAGAGCCAGGGTGAGAAGTGGGCATTAATGCATATCACGTAAAATGCAAGAAGACCTTTAGGAATCTTTCTTTTTGCAAGGGAATGGTCTCGAAATATAAAACAATTTCTAATTGTGTTCAGAAAAGTGCATTCTTACTTTTGAATGTATTCTGTGTGCAAAATACTAAGGATGTTGTAACAAATCCATCTCAGATTAGAAGTTCGTGGTCCTTAATTCTAATGCATGATCCATCACTGTGAGAGGTAAAATTTTTCATTAAATTTATTTAGGGCTTTTAAAGGGTAAAAAAAAATAAAAAAAAAGGAAAAAAGGAAATAGTCTATATTTTGCATTTTTGGCTAGGAATTGGTTCATGGTACTGTGGCTCTGTGTTTTTTGCTTCTTACTAATCATGTTGAAGTCGCTGCTGATCCAAAATAAATCTGGATTGGTATGGGAACAGCAAATAATCTGTACTGGTTCTTAAAGCTCGCTGAGAACAATGAGTTTTACTCATACATAGTGCTGTGTTGTATTCTGGTCTTGAGCCAGTTATGGATGTGAGAGTCATGCATGTGAAATCTCTGTGCATTTTAGCCTTTTGTATCACCCTGTCTAGCATTAATTCCCAAGTCCCACTTAGGAAATTAACTGGTGGAATGCATGTCCTTATTTAAACCTTCATGTGCCTCAAGGGCATTCCTGACCAAAAACCTCAGGAGCTGTCTCCTCTGGGTGGTAGGTGGTGGGGATTTCTGTAGGAGCAGCAGCAGATTTGTCATGAGACCATCACAGAAACATGTGGCGTGACTGGGTGCTCTCATACTTTTTGCCAGCGATGCTGTGCCAGTTCAGACCAAGTCAAAATCTGAAGCCCCTCCCAAAGGCCAGAGGGCATAAGACCATGGTGACTCATTAGGTACACTGATTTCTGGCACCAGGATGTCCACAGCAGGAAAAACAAAATGGCAAAGCCAGTTTCTGACATGGAGAATGCCTGCAAGTTTGCCCTGTGGCTAAAATAGAGTTGACAAAATTCCCACCACTGACCAGCTCAGCTATCATCAAGTCTTTCTGTGCTGGACTGCTTAAGATGCCAAACATCCTTGTCAAACTCTCATATCTCTAAAGAGGTCTAGGTACTTTCACTGTTCTTGGTCATGTTTGAGTGTTTTTGAGACACTATTGTGTGTACCCCAGGTGGCTTTGTGGACCTTTCAGGGAACTCATGTGTCTCCTGGTATATTTGAGGGGTGGCCACTGTAGACAGCTGGGAGGTCTCTTCTTCCTAGATCTCAGATCCTCTGTATTCTCCTTCCTCTTTCTGAATGTACTAAAAGGCCTGGGGAACCACATTCCTTTGTAAAGGGACCTGCACATTTTCAGCATCCAGACTGGATGCCATTGAAATCACTTGAGATAGCTTGTGGGTTTGGTCCAGAATGGTGGAAATCTTAATGAAACCACTCATCTCTTGAGAGCAATCTGCAGATTTGGGAAGAGCAAAAATTTCTTGTAGCTCTGATTTACTGCAGCATCCAAATCCATGCTCCTTTGCTGCGGATTTGCTGGAAGGAACAAGGGAGCAGTGTCCCTTTGGTAGCTGTGTCTGTTCTTACTGACATGGTACAAGTCACATTCCCTGTCCCTCTTAGTTCACACCAGCCATGAGTCACATTGTTGCCATTTACACATACACAAGTATTGGTGCATATGGAGCATGAGCCCTTCAGTGTTGTGTACTGTTAAGGGCTGAGGCAATAAAGTAGGAAGACAGCTGGAAATTAGGAGGTAAAATTAACAAGACAGCTTATGCATTTGGCATGATTTAGGTGGTGGTGGCCACTCATGATTAGCAGACCTCAACCACTGCTGGAGGTGGTGTTTCTTTGCAGCCTGCTGCCACCAGCATTAGCATGGTCTCGTGAAACTTGCAGTGTCCAAGAGGGGACTGTGACAACTTACTTTTTTCTCATTTTACACAGCTTTTGTCAGCTTTTCCACTGATTTAATACCTGTGATGGAGGCATTCGCTTGGAAGTTTCATTTTTGCCTCACCAACATCTGCTCACCAGTGTCCTTTGCTATGACTGATGCACTTCTCTTGTACTGGTTTAATAATTTTTACAGCCTACCATCTCTCACATAAAGTAGATACCTTTGGCACTTGCGTTTGAACTGAGACTAATGCTCTTGCTGTTTGCTGTTAATCTAGCGACTGTTCTCTGCAGATGAATAAATGCAATATGCCAGATTCCCTCCTGCTGTCACAGGGATATATTTTTTCTTAGCATTGCTTTTTGCTTGTGGGGAAAGGCAGGCAACTTGCTGTGCACTGTCTCCCTTTGTGTGTATTCTCCCCAAAAATCTCATATCTCCACCCAAGTGTCCTCTTCCCAAAAGTCACTTATTGAAAATTTCCACTGTATGGGATTCAGAGACTTTGTAAAATGATGGTTGAAGTTGGTTTTCTATCACTGTGAGACAGTAGCTTCCCCTACTTTTAAAATACGAAAATAAAGCAAACCCAAATAAAATGAAAAAGAGTTACCTGAAATATTCTACTTTGGCATTTAATGAATTAAAAAATACATAAAGCCAATGTAAAATGAAATAAAAGGTGAAATTCCAAGATTCAGAGTTGAATTTGCGATTTCAACATGACATTTCAAAATTTCCAGATGAATATGCAGTTCCTTTCTACTCTGAGAATAGCAACAAATGTCAGAATGTTGACATTCTTCACAAAACAGTAATTCCAAGTTCTAACCAGCACTAGCTGCATATCAGCCGCTGACTCTGTCATTGCTTCTGGGTGGATTAAATTAAATACCGTTGCTTCTGTTAAAACAAGGAGAAGGGAAAGAAGACAAGTAGTAGTGTG